CTGTTGGCTCCAAAATTAGGGTTAATTTCAAGAAATATTGAAGAATATAAGTGCAGAAAAATTAGTGTTGGAAAGCCTGGAGGTGAAAAGGTTAATTAAGATTAACATTACCGTTAACAATCCTATTATAAACCGCGGTTTATATTACAATGTATCAAATAAAAAATTGGGATCAACAGCTCAAGTTCGAGTGCGGTTTCTATAACGTACATATTGCAATCACTAAATGGGCGTGGTCATTTTTTCCCACATCACTTGCACAAAACAAACAATACACCGTACAATCTTTTGAATATAAGCGCAACTCCAATTTAGTTGTCAGGGAAGAGTGATAAGCGTCACGTCATAAAAAACTGTTCACATGAAAAAAATACTCAGTATATTTAATGTAATATGGATTTATTTATTTTTTATTTTCTTCGTAACGGAAAGTATATTCTGACAGGAGTTTCAAATAAAAACAAACATTAATGCATTGCTTAGTAGAAAATGATCATGGTACAGCACTAAAAAAGTATGGTACTGTGGGTACGGTAACGCAATCCGGCCATGCTTCGGCTCACAAGTGAATAACTTACTTGTTTTCGAAGTGTTGAAATTGTTGATTATTACTCAGTAGTGATTATAATAATCCACGAAAAATAAATTTGTTGAATTTTTATCAAATGCAAGTAAAATTTCACCGTAAGCGAATTATTTCGGTCACATGTAAACGATCGATACGACATCTGCTATGTAGTTTGAATGCACACGAGTCGTTACTTGACCGGATAGTCACTAATTAACCAATCAAAACGCTGGATGGTGCCCACGTGTTCACCTTAGTTCACTTAAATATGTTAATGACAGGTCACCGACTTCATGGTGAACAAAACGCGGAAGTGATTTACCGATAATGTAGTGCGATCTCTTGGTTTTGATTTCCATGAGAAAACGACATGACTTTTTTTTTAATCAAGAAATTAGTTGTTTTCGAAAGATAAACTGAGCATTGAAAAAGAACAGTTTTTCGGTGATAACAGCTCATTGTCGAAAACTTGCCACACATGGACGTATTCATAAAGAGTACTGACAAAAGTTGTCACAAGACAAAAGCAGTTTCATTGCGTGTTTGACATCCTAACACTACTGAACAATAAAGAGGTGTGAATATTTTTAGGCACGTTGTCGAAACAAATGAATAGGATTAGGAACAATGTACCAGCTGGTTGAAACAAAGTCAGTCACGGTCTTGTTGAATTGGGGGTGCGGTTAGTAATAGGTACTTTTCATGTTTTCAATTTTTGTTGAGAACTCTTCAATACTGAAGCCTAAATCAGGGGTGTGGTTACTATTAGGTATGTGGTTTATAATAGGATTTTAACGATACCATTATATATTTTCATACCTAAGCATTTTATCCGCATAATGCACACTAGGCAGGTAATTGATACAAACACAATATTACTTACATCCTGGTATTTTCTCGGGTATAAATATATTATCGATGAGAGTTTTTCAATTATTGCAAAAGTTGATAATGTTGATAAGTTGTTGCATTAATTGGGCAATAATACCACCAGAAAGTAACAGTGACCTTTAGAGATCATGTACAGGTATGTGCAGCAGGTTATAGCACAGCTCATGTTTGTATCTATTATATTATCACAAAACCCTTGTCAGGATTGCACCAGTGCATCATGGGAAATGTAACATAAATGCCCAGCAGTCATTTTGTAGCCGAGAATTATGCTCAAATCATTCCCATATTCTGTATATATATTCAGCAATGTAAAAGACAGAAATATTAAATACTTTACGCAGTCTGATTATTGAAAAGAATGATTCTCAGCACTCCTATCAAATGCTTCACCATCGAGTGCATACTGAAATCTTGTTGCCATTTATTTTTTATTTTATACACCCTGATAAAAACTGGTTGCTATGTAAACATTTGTGTTGAGTGAGCCACACTACACATAGTTACAATGACAGTGTCATTTTAAAAAAGTATAAATATTTAGGTAATTTTACTTACTTTCTGTGCTAACTGATACAGCATTCTGGCACTAACCGCTGTTGTATGCGTTCGTAAAAGATTCTTCCTTGCCTCTTCTATCTTCCAATCATACTGATAACTACAGGGTGTGATCGTTTATGACAACAAAACAACTTTAAAATGGCCGACAACATTAACTAGTTACTAACTTAATGATTGTGACCACACACAACACTCTAATATAACCTTAGTCCAAATCATCACAACTTAGACATGCTACAAATCATCTAAGTTACCATTTGAATTGTACAGCATAACGAACACTATGATATTCCACTTACCCCTGAGATCCATATCCGCCTTTAGAATGAACTTTTTTGACCCTTTCTAAATAATCCATGGGGAACTCATGAGCATTCATTGGGTCTGTGAATTAATATTGATATAAATGTAGCTTTTATTTTTGCAAA